AGGATATGTGTTCACTTTCCCGAAATTACATGTTCAACACCATACCCAAACATAACCGAAACTGGCCAGCCCACCCCGTCTAAAGAGAGGGGTCGTTTTACTGTTACAGGGAGGGTCTAATATATATATATATGTATATATATATATATTACACACACATATATATATATATATATATATATGTGTGTGTGTGTGTGTGTATTTATTCATTTAGATATCTACTTAATTAATGATTGATTATTTCACATATTCATTTGTTCATAAAGACGTATACATACACACGTATACATGTCCATTTTGGTATGCATATAGGTATAGACACAGAAATAGGTATAGAAATAAATATAGATGTAGATATAGACTCTTAGTATAGATATGTAGACGGAAACATATATAGGCATATCGAGAGAGAGCGAGAGCGAGAGCGCGAGAGCGAGAGCGAGAGCGAGCGGGAGGGAGGGAAGGAGGGGCCCTTAGATTTCTGTAAATGTTCCGCAGAAATTCCAAGAGTCTCAGGACGGGAAAGCCTGCAGAGTGCTCACACGCCGTCCTGTCCCTCCTTCCCCTGTCTTTATGTGTAGGAGTCTAGCATCAGCATCATTATCGACACCACCATCATCAACAGAATCATCCTCGTAGAGTGAGGTTTGGGCTACCCCTCCCCAGCGTCCGCCCGGGCACCCCGGCTTGCCATCAATCGTGACATTCACCTCCCCGCTGACGATCACGAAGAAGGACGAGCCGACCTCGCCTTGCTTGATCACCTGGTTTAGGGTCTAGGGTTTAGGGTTTAGGGCTTAGGGTCTACATAGGGTTTAGGGTACCTGGAAGAAGCTCAAACCCGGGATTCGTTTGATTTAGGGTCAGCTTTTAGGGTTTAGGGGTTTAGGGCCTTGAAAGAACTCAACGTGTAGACTAGTCAGATAGCTGAAGGCGAACGTCAGAAGAACTTCCACCTGACCCGGAGCGGGGAAGAGTGTGCGGATTCGGTGTAGAGGGGAGGACTGTTGGGCCTCGTGACCATAATTGCAATAAGGAACCCCCAAAATAGTATATATTACCATTATTATAATAAGGAACCCCCAAGATAGTACATTATACCATTATTATAATAAGGAACCCCCCAAAATAGTATATTATACCATTATTATAATAAGGAACCACCAAAATAGTATAGTATCCTTCAGTGCTGACGGCAAAGGGGCCTGTGCTCCTTTGCGGTGGTGCTGGAGCACGAAAGATCGGACCAGCTTACCTCAGCATCGGGAGGCTCTGACCGACTGATCATTTTAGGGTTTAGGGTTTAGGGCTACAGGAGTTGAGGAGGCGTTTAGGGTTCCGGGGCGTAAGTGTGAGGGGCTAGAGGGCTTGGGCTATCTGAATCAAGAAACAATACGCCCAAGATGTTCCGGAAAAAGAAGCGAAGCCCCTTATTCCTTCCAAACTTGAAGGGTTTGTCCTTGAAGGTTGAGCTTGGAAATATCTAGTATATATTTGGGGTCCTTATCATAAGGATCCTACTATTTAGGGTACTATATTAGGGTCCCCTATTTTCGGAAAATCGTAACTTCCTGCTGACATCACACAACATCCGGGGACTGTTGGTCATGGGTGAGAGTCCAGCATGGCAATAGGGCGTCTATCCACAGAGAGAGCCGCTACACACTACACGGAAACGAGCACAGAACCTGAGATACTATACTACACTAAACTGTACATTACCATACCAGACTATACTACAAATATATTATAACATAGCCATGTCGATTTGTAAGATTCCCGTGCTGGTCCTTGGCCAAGTGGCTAACCTGCTCCCGGGAGAGGTGCTGAAAAATGCGGACCTTCCTACATGAGATGGCGTCTTTTGTTATATATACATACATGTATATATAGACACATATATAGTGTAGTATAATGTTGTATGTTATATTACGATCTTTTCTAATACAAGAGTAACATAATATAATATAATAAAGTATGACATAAGATCATATAACAAGTATAACCAACGATACGATTAAGTAAGGTAAGACAAGATAAGACTAGATAATACAGACACAAATTCAACATAGCATAACATAATATGATACGACATGATATAGCATTGATATAGCATAAGAAACATGGTATGATGTAGCACCGCATAATTTAAAGACTTTCATTTAATGTAACGTAGCATAACGTAACATACCGTATAGTACAAAATTGTAGCAACACACTCATTTGGCGACGGCGCTGCTCGAGAGCGATGGCTCGGGAAACGAAGGCGATGACACACATGATGGCGATGGGGATGACGGTGTTGATGGTGCTGACGCTGATGCTTATGAGGACGATAGACATTCAGAAAATGAGGACGACGCCGACACTGAGATGACGGCAATCGACTGATAAGACACAACTGGTATGGCTCTTGGTTGCTCGAAGAAATATTGGAAGTCCTGAACCTGGCTATGAAGCTGATATGGGGGCCTTAATAATTTGAAGAGGGCTTTAGGGTATATCGTAGACCGAGTAGTCAGCTCCTTACCGCCTTACCGGCGCGCTCTTCCCCCCACATGCCAGGAATGACTGTCCTCACCATCAGCATCTTCTTCGCCAGGTCCGACACCTCCTGGTGGAGTCAAGAGTTGAGGGAATCCCTTCACTGTGGGGAGTAATACCTCTCTTGCCTGCATCGTTATGTTAGCTCTGGTATGATAACCTGATAAACAACCCTCACCAAACCCTAAAACCTCAGACCTAAACCCTCAACCCTAAACCCTAATCATGGCCATGAGGATTCGGCTCGCCGATCTGCCCTCAAATGGATACAAACCTGATCTCCATGCGACCCGTACCTTCCAGTACAGCAAACACGAAAATCCTAATACCCTGAACCTCGAAAACCCTAAACCGCAAACCCTCCGTTTTCCACTAAGACCCCTAGTGGAGTCCTCACCGGACGCGACGGCCGCTAGCCCCAACTTCTCCAAGGCCGTGGAGAGGCCCCCCTTGAACAGCGAGATGGGCTTAATATATATATATATATATACACATACCTATATATATATGTATGTATATATATATATATATATATAGGGTTTAAGTTGGGGCTTCGGTCTGGGATTTTTTAGTTGGCATTTGGATTCTCGCCTCTAGGGCTCATAGGGTTTAGGGTGTACCTGTAGTCTCCGTTGTAGTTCCTTTTTGGGACAATTCTTAATATATAATTGGTTAAACCAAAAAAAGGAACTACAATGGAGACTACAGGTAGGGTTTCATAGGGATTCAAGTTGGGGAGTTGAGACATAGACGGCAAGTTGAGTTGACCGCCGAAGCGATGACTAGCTGAAGGGATGACCTGATGAAGCACGGTGTTTACGCTGTTGCGTGGGATCTTGCACTTCGTCAAGAGCACGAGCACGATTGGTGCCAGTAACTACACCGAAACGACGACAGGGTAAGTGAAGGCAGCCACGAGCCCACTATGGCTAAGCATGGCAATAACTGTAATTGCGCACGGATCGCTTCAGGCGCGAAGGACATAGCCGAAAAGCTACCTAGTGGAAGGAGGTGACGGAACGGTCTTTCCCAATTTAGTGTACGGATGCCTGCACGATGCCAACCATGCAGCTCTGCAAACGGACAAGTTGTGTAGACACGCATGAACGAGCATATGTACATGTACACAGATACGCAGGATGTACGTACATAGGTACGCAAGTGAGTAGGTGTGTAGGTATCGACTCGAAGTATGTAAGTATACATGCATCCATGCGTGTATGCCTGTACGTATATACGTAACGACGTAGGTATGTATGTCTGTATACGTATATGGATGTGTGTGTGTGTGGGGATGGAAAAATGATGAAAAATGGAGGCATGGATGGACGGATGGATAGATGGCTGGGTGGATGCATGGATGCACGCATCTACAAGTACAGATGTACTTGCATATGCCTGTTTCTGTACATACGCATACTTTTTGAGCATGCTCGTATCTGGCATATCGAAGTATTTCCGCGTCTGCCAGACTGTCCGTCTGCTCATACGACATGGCTTACATAACTGTCTGCACATGCAAAGTATGTGTGTACGTCGGAGAGGCTTACAACAAATCTCTTGGCAGAAGGTCATGCAAATTGTTCAACGCCAGTGACACTGTATGAAAACAGTTTGGGTAAGCAACACTCCACACACCCCGTCGGCGTAAGCTCTTTAATCCCCTACAACCCAAACACCAAACCCTCCAATCCCACCACCCCAAACCCTGCACACTCCCCTTCGCCCGTTCAGGTACCAGCGCCTTGCTGAGTGAGGCGACTCGGGCGCCCTCCGGGCCAGCCATCATGTCCTTGCAAGTGCTCCGCAGGGATCTAATCTTCTCCCTTCACGCCTGACGGCAGTACCACATCGTGCTAGCACACAGCCTCGTGCATGAACACATATGTATTCTGTGTGTGTATATATATATATATATCTATCTATTTATTTATTTATTCATTTACTTATTTTGCGATTTATCTATTTATTTCGTTTGATGGCAGTACCTACTGACAAGGAGATACCATTGCAAGTCATTCCGATGCCTCGGTTCTTTCTCCGTTGAGAACCCGAGTCGACCCTCCACCCGAATCCTGAAATCACGAAACTTGCACCCACAACTTCTTTAGGGTTTGGGGTTAAGGTTTAGGGTGTAGGGTTTAGGGGTTTAGGGTTTAGGGGTTTAAGTTTTAGGGGTTTAGGGGTTTAGGTGTTAGGGTCTAGGGTATCCTCGTCCTAAACCCCACAACGCCGGCCCTAAACCCAACTTCAAAACGCCCCTGAAAGCCCCCCTCAAAAACACAAGCTCAACCTGGATGCCCGAATCTCCTACAGCCCTTTTTGAGCCTTTGAGCCCGCTCTCCAATTTTTCCAGTGTCATCAACCCGTAGCCCCTTATACTCTCCATTTGTTCGGGTTTAGGGTTTAGGGCTCGTGCCACAACACCCCTCTAAACCCTAAACCCAAAAGCAACTCTACAAAAGCCTGCGTGGCTAGGCCTGGAGGTCGCTTCTTAGTTCGGAGCGTTCGAGGAGGCCGCCATCCTCAGGAAGTTCGGAGCTGTTGAGTTTAGGGGCTTCGGGGTCTAAGGGTTTAGGGTTTAGGGTTTAGGGGCGTTTTGAGCCTTAGACCCTAAACTCTCAGGACTTGCAGTGGTTTGGGGTTCAGTGTGGTCCTCTTCAAGTCTTTTTTGAGCTTGGGGCCTTCAGTTCGTGGTCTCACTTAGGCCCTAGCTGTTTCTTGCTGCTGGTGGTACTGAACACGATCATGAACATCGCCGTGATCACGGACATCGCCGTCGCCATCGAGAATCATCATCGGCAGCAGCATTATCATCATCCTCATCCTCATCCTCATCATCGTCACCACCATCATCATCAGCTACATTCGCCAATCATTTTCGTTTCGGCGAACCTATACTTGCGCAGTAGTGGAATTCCCCCGAATGCAGATTTTCAACACCAAGCGCACCCCCCAGCATAAACCCAAAGATGGCACTGCTGCGTTCCCTTGCATCACGAGCCTCTAGCCAGTCTCCTTGCTCCAGTGTCTTCGACTCGCCTGCCAGATGCAGCCGAGGATCTATCCTGATTATTCTTACTAGTTATTACTACTACTACTACTAC